TTCGTCATGTGCCCCGCCCCCCGTACCTCACCCGGGGGAACTGCGATCCCCCGCGATCCCCCCCCCGAAATGACCTCTGGGTCTAGAAAAACAGTTACCCTGCTAAGCTTCGGTTACAGCTCCTAGATGGAAACCAGTAGCTTGGGCAGAATCCTGAGTGCCTCAGGGCCTGAGCACACAACCCATTGCTATGGACAGACATTGCTGTTTTGCGTGTCATTGTACTGTGGCTTGACGAGTGCCATGTGATACCTAGGGATGCCAGTCTCCTGGTGGGGCCCAGGGATCCCCTGGAATTACAGCTCATCTCCAGGCTACAGAGATCAGTTGCCCTGGAGAGAATGGATGCTTTGGAGGGTGGACTCTATGTAGGGTTGCCAGGTCTTACCTGGCTGCTGGCGGTGGGGGGGAGGGTCCAGTCTTGCTCTGGAAGTCTTCTGGTCTGCTGACCATAGAGTTTTCTGCCCAAATGCTAGAGCATCCCACCCGACATGCCCGGCACAATGATGTCACTTCCGGGTGATGTCATTGCGCCAGGCACATCGGGCGGGACGGGGCTCTGGCTGGCAGTGGATTGAGGCCCCCGAAATCAGGGGAAACTCCGCCCCCATTGGGGGGATGGCACTGTAGTCCAATTATGTCCTTGTCCTCCCCAGACTCCACCTCCAAATCTCCAGGAGTTTCCCAACCTGGATCTGGCAACCCTACTCCCCCATCGCCTGCTGGTGGCCAGGGGGAGCTGGCAACCAGACCATGTATCAAGTTGCCATTTCATAGCCCGGAGATCCTTTTAAATGTTCTCAAACAGCCTCTGCTCTTTTGGCTGTCTTCTGTCTCTGGTGGGCCTGTTGCAACATGCTTCACCCCCCACCAGCAGTGAAAGATAGCCAGTAGCCCTTTTCATTTGTTAACATTTTCGGTGCTACCATAATCCTCTCAATACAACTGCCATTGTGTGAACAGGGCAATATGTATATCTTCCAGCACTAGTACACACACACAATTGGAAACCCAGGTTTGTTGCAGATACGTGTTGGTGAGAACCAAAGCTGGAAAACACATACGTGCGTAGGGTTACCAGCCTCCAGGTGGGCCCTGGGGATCTCCCAGAATTACAACTGATCTCCGGACTACATCAGTCAGTTTGGCTGGAGATAAGGGCTGCTTTGAAGGGTGGACTCTGTAGCATTGTACCCTGCTGTGGTCTCTTGACTCCCCAAACCTCGCCCTCCGCCGGTTTTACCCACAAATCTCCAGGAATTTCCCAAGCCAGAGTTGGCAATCCTAGTATTGCCCTGTTCACACAAAATGGTGATGTATCGAGAGGAATGCGTGTCGCACACTTTCTGACACACAAAGGGGGAGCACCAAAAAGGTAACGATTGAAAAAGGACTGAAAAGTGGACGGTCAGAGGAAGCACAAAATGGTGATGTATCGAGAGGAATGCGTGTCACACACTTTCTGATACACAAAGGGGGAGCACCCAAAAGGTAATGATTGAAAAAGAACTGAAAAGTGGACGGTCAGAGGAATGGGGTAGGATGTAAAGTGGCTGCGTATTCTCTCAGCACCTCAGAACGTTAGAGGCAGGATCCCCAGGCTGGAATCTGGTACTTATTACAGGCCCACGCAAATGAGATGATTTTGTACAGTGGCTCATCTCTCGGGTTTGGGATTTTATTTTTCCAAGTGGCTCATCTCTAGGGTTTGGGATTTTATTTTTCCAAGTGGCACGTCCTCGGGGAGATAGGGATAAACTGGAGAAAGTCTTGCTGGCCGTTTCAGCTAAAAGCGTAGAAGACCAAGCAGCCCTCACAAGTGGGTTCTCAAATTAATTCCTCACACAGAACAGTGTAGGTAGGCCCAGGGGAATGGATGGAATACGAGGCCATTCTCCTCCTCAGGAGACTCAAGGGCGGATCCTGGATGTAACACATCTCTGGGGAATCAGATAGGAAGCCTTTCCCATCTTGGATCCGCTGGCTTTGCTTCAGCTCAGTCTTTTTCAGGAGAACCATTTTAGAGGCCTGTTTTGTTAAATTAATTATTTCTGTGACAAATGTATGGGGGGGGGACGACATCTAGGGGAACACAAAGCGAAATGTGTGGGAGGCTGAGGAGGATTGGGGCAAAAGAACTGTGGGGATCTGTAGGTGTCTGAGGCAGATCCGAGTGAAGTGCCAGAGGGAAGTCATGGGTGACTCCAGGCCTGAGCGGTGCCATCCCACCCTGTGGCTGAGGGGGCGGGAGTTTGTGGCAGCAGATTCCCTCACAGCGCCAGCGATGAGGCGAACACTCCAACTGCTGATATGTAGGTCATGCTCAGCCTCACAGCTGCAGCTGATCCAATTTGCCATGTTTGTGTGTGTGAGTGCGCGTGTGAGGGAGACTATATGCGTGGAGGGAAATGAAAGGCACTCAAAGAACTGACAAAACAGAGAGATATTTCTCCATTGCTCTGTGTCTCTTTCCCCTTCGCCTCTGTCTTCTGCTTATTCTGATTGGCCTTTCCTCTCAGCCCAAGATAGAAGGGAGCTGTGTGTGGTTATTACTTAGTGCTGTGCAAAAGGCACCCTGCACAGTCTCAGAAGCACTCTCTTCATTGCTATGCTTCATGCTTTTTAGGGCTGAGGGCTTAGAAGAAGAAGAAGAGTTGGTTTTTATACCCTGCTTTTCACTACCTGAAGGAGTCTCGGAGCAGCTTACGACTGCCTTCCCTTCCTCGCCCCACAACAGACACCTTGTAAGGTAGGTGGGGCTGAGAGAGTTCTGAGAGAACTGTGACTGACCCAAGGTCACCCAGCTGGCTTCATCTGGAAGAATGGGGAATCAAACCCTGTTCTCCAGATTACAGTCCACCAGTCCTAACCACTACACCAAGCTTAGGACTGACAACAGTTTCTGTGGTTAAGCCCCGACTCACAAAACCTTGTCTGTTCATAAAATCTAGCCAGCATGACAGCATGTATTGAACTGCAGCCCAATTCACATGTGTGCCAGTAAAAAGAAACCCTCATGTTGGTCTGCACGTGTGAAAAGCAAAAAGTAAATTTTCAGCGGTTTCTACAACTGTATGGTGTAGCGGTCAGAGTGCTGGACTAAGATCCGAGAGACATGGGTTCGTAATCCCCACCCTGCCATGGAATCCCTGGGAAACCTTGAGTCAGCCACCCATTCCCAGCCTAACCTACTTCACAGGGTTGTTGAAAATGTAATTATTAGAGAAAATGTAATTATTTAATTTATCTCATCGATACCCCACCTTTCTCCCAATGGGAACTGGAAAGCAGCTTTCATTGTTCTCCTCTCCTCTCCTCCATTTAATGGGTGCATTATGCACTTGAACAGAACCTTAGACCGAGGGTTGTAAGAATGAGGATGTGTGGGTACCCAGATGTTGGATGAATGAGTTTGAACAGGGACTGAGAGCGGAATTCCAAGGGCAAAAGAAGGAATGTGTGGCAATTTGCCTCTTGTTAGCCGCCCTGAGCCCATGTGGAAGTGTGGGATATAAGTCAAATAAATAAATAAATGAACAGAAGATGGGTAACCAGATGAGTGGACAGAAAGTTAATCAGTATTCTTTCCACAGCGGCTAAAATTCTAATTGCAAGGTTTTGGAAAGATATTAAGGTGCCAAATATAACTCAGTGGTGGTATAAAGTATGGGATTTATTTACGTTGGACAATTTTTCAATTTATCATTCCAATAATCAAAATGAGAGTGACTTTTCTAATCCTCTAAATATCTGGTCACTCTCTATTTAGATAAAATAGACATTGACACCTTTGATTGGGAAACCATTTCTAAAGCCAAATACAAATTATTGGTATTTGGTTAGCCTAGAGTTATTAAGTGAGATTTTTTCATATAGACTTTTAATGATATTATTCATTGTATAACTGTGGATAGAGAGTCACCATTTTGTATTGCAGTTTTTTATATTAAAATAAAAAAAATGAGTGGACAGAAGAGGGCTTTTTTGTGGGTGGAGTGATGGGGGGGAATGGATGAATGAATGGCAGTTAACAGAGAGAAGCATGGAATTATGCAGCTGCCAGTGACGTATCTGCGCATGCTTTTCTACAGTGGCTCCAGGCAAACACTGTGTGTGCAAAAAAATCGATGCACCCTCATTCTCACGACTGGTAACGTCTTCAGGCCTGGAGCGAACTGACCCCCCCACCCCCTCCAGTCACTATCCCCCTCCCCCCCACGCAGCCAGCTGTTGTGGGCACAGATTGTGGTGTCTAAGCCTGAGGCGAATTGTCAGATTGACTGTAATCTGTTTGTTTGTTTGTATGTTTGCAGGACGGGTGGGGAGAGTGCGAGCGCGAGAGGCAGGGGAACATCACGTCTCTCCTGGCGGTGCCTCAGGCAGTACCAGCAATCGGGAAGGCTTTTGCCAGCCGTATTCTGAGCCTGGGTGGAGCACTTGGGTGTGTTTGTGTATGTGTGTGTGTATCTGGAGCAGGTCTGGGGTGTGTGTGAGAGAGAGAACTTTGCCATACTCCCTTAAGGCAGGTGTGTGTGTTTGTGGAAGAATCCACGGTTTAAGAATGATATACTATCATTCTTGACATTTTATCTAAGGAGGTTGTAGGGCCAGGCCCGGACAGCCAAAGAACAGACGGTCAGTATTCTGTGACAGTAACATAAAATGACCTATTCAAGGCTTAGTGGTCCCAAACCTTCAAATTCTAATCCAATAAAACCGTTTGCAATGACCTCATGAAAACTCCTACTAATCAAAGAGCCTAAACCTGTGTTTGTTTGGTGGTGGGAAGTGCCGTCAAGTTGTAGGAAACTAATGGCAACCCCCCCCCCAGGGTTTTCAAAACAAGAGACATTCGGAGGGTGGTTTGCCAGAGGTCGCAACTCTTGACTTCTTTGGTGGTCTCCCATCCAAAGGGCTCCTAAGAAGGGCTGACCGTGCTTAGCTTCCTATATCTGACAAGATCGGGCTAACCTGGGCTATCCAGGTCAGGGCATATATGTTTACTTGGACCTCAGTCCTGCCCCACTGAATAGTGTTTATACCCAGTTAAGTTTGGGTATTCTCCTTCTTCTTGTTGTTGTTATTTGTATATTTGTATGTTCTACTTTACTAAATTTTCAAAATGCGTCCAGTTTTTTGAGGGGAAAACTTACAGCATGCAAGCAAAGTCAGTGTAAAGAGCCTCTCACTAAAAAAAATGATTCCTAACACCCACCCACCCCAAAAGATCACACTCAAATATGTACGACCTCATAAAAATTCATCAAATGTTTCCTGGAAGAGGAAGGTCTTTCATGTTTTCGGAGGGATTCTGGCTGAGGCAAGCCTCTTTATGCATTTTTAATATTCATATCTCCTTAACGTTTTGAAAGAAAAAAGCCCAAGGCAGTTAACAGTGTAGTCAGGATAAAAGACAATCAACTTCAAATAAGCAATAAGATACACACAGCATAATACAGGTACAGAAAGGGATTTTCCTTGATCCCCCCCCCTCCTGGTTTGTTATATCCACTGGAAAGTGGGATGGAAAGACCCTCCCCAGCCTTTGAACTGAGGTAGGAGAAAAGGTTGATCCTTGAAGGGAGTATGTTTCACAGGACTGGTATTATGAATGTATGTTTGTGGGAGGCAGGGTCATTTCGTAGAAAAAGAGGTGCAGGAGCTCATTAGCATAACTCATTAGCATAACTTATTTGCATATGCCACACCTCCTGACATCACCGGAATTGTGTCAGAAGGCAACACCCACTGCTCAGGCTCCACTGGACTGTTTTGGATTGCTAGCTATTGGGGGGGGGGGACATGCAGATCTGTCCTGGCAGAGGAAGGAGAGCTTGTACCTGAATAAAACTTGGTCTTAAAGGTGCCACTGGACTATTTTGGGCCGGGGGAGCTCTGCAACTTACCTGGCTGCTTCTTGCTCTGACTGAGGGATGCTGGGAGCAGGGGGTGGGGCTTGTTGCATGTGCCCGTCCCCTGGGCTCTTTACTGCCGGAGCTCCGCTCCTGTGCACTCCTGCAGGAAATGACCCCTGCTGTCAAGTCACTGCCAACTTAAGGTAGCAGCTGGAGATCGCCTGCTTTACAGATAACCAAGATAAGTTCTTCTTCAGAAAATGGCTGCTTCGGAGGGTGGACTCCAAGGCTTCGGAGGGTGGACTCCACCCTTACGCAAACCCCACCCTCCCCAGGTTCCACCTCCCAATACTCCCACCCCAAAGGTGGCAGCTCTATTGGCAGAGGGGGGGGGGCGTAGCATCATCAGATCCAGGTTGGGAAACTCCTGGCAATTTGGGGGTGGAGCCTGGGGAGGACAGGGACCTCTGTGGGGTACAATGGCGTAGAATCCACCCTCCGAAGCATCCATTTTCTCCAGGGGAACTGATCTCTGTTGTCTGAATATGAGCAGTGATTCCAGGGGATCCCCACGTCCCACCTGGAGGCTGGTATCCCTACATGGTGGTCATTTTGTGGTTGTGCCCAATACTCCCTCTAAGCTATGGAGTCCTGTGAGCAAAAATTCTACTTTGTGAGCTACTGGCATTAATGTTGTGAGCAGGTGATTTGGCTACTGCATAAATTAGTTTGCTCTGAGGCCATCCTTCCTGAGCTAAGACAAAAATGTGTGAGCCGGAGGCTTAAAAACTGTGAGCTAGCTCACACTAACTCTGCTTTGAGGGAACACTGGTGCTCACACATTGAATCAAAATCCCAAAGGTGCCCATAAGCTCAAAAAGGTTTGGGATCCAGAGCTAGAGGCTATTCGGGATGCCATAATTCTCTGCAAAGTTTCATGAGGACTAGAAACATTCCCAAAGTAGGAAAAGATTTACAGTTCTTGTCTAATGTGGCCAGTATCCGTCTATCCTGTTTTTCCAATCATTGAAGGTCTATGAGCCAAAGTTCTGCTGCCCTCTGATAGTTTTGTCTCTATTTACCTCTAGGCGTTGCTGTTTCTGGCCAGCATCTCAGGCCTATGCTTTGCTATCAGCCTCGTCCTCATCTGTGTCTACCTGATCCGCTTCTGCTGCTGCAGCAACGAAGACGACGAGGAAACCAAGACTCAAAGGGTTTGCTGTGTCACTTGGAGCTGCGTGGCAGCCATTATCATCTGCTGGTAATTTCCTTGTTATCCTGTTCTTCTCCAAATTCTCTGGATGCAGCCGGTCAGTCCTGGCTTTAAAATGGCAATCTTTGGGGTTGGGGGAAGAGACTAATGCACTGACTGTCTGGAACTCGAGTCTCTGATAGCAGAGCCCAGACTCCATGTGCCACTTTGTGAGCAGGAGGAGTTAGAGGTGTGAGTTCTGCTCCTTGGCTGTACCATCCTAAAGTCCGCTGGCAAGTACGGTGCCCAACTCCAGCTTGGGAAAGTCAAGGAAATTTTGTGGCGGCGGCTGGGGAAGACGTGATGCCATAGAGTCCACCCTCCAAAGCTGCCATTTCCTCCAGGGGGACTGTAATTTGGAGATCAGCTGTAATTCTGGGAGCACTCCCCCCATGGAGACTGGTAACTAGGGTTACCAGGTTGCCCACTGCGGCAGGCAATTTCCCATCCCCGCATCTGGCCCCACCCTCACTCAGTGGAGCGGCAGGAGCAAAAATTGGTGAGTGAGAGTTGCACGATGCCACCTCCCCCCCAGTCTCCACCCCCCCAAATATTCCCGGCTGGGAACCCCAACTACCGCAGAAGCCCTGTAGCTAACATTCCAGTGAGATCAGCGTTGCCAACCTCTAGGTGCTGCCTGGAGATCTCCCACTATTACAACTAATCTCCAGGCAACAGAGATCAGCTCCCCTGGAGAAAATGGCCTTTTTGGAAGGTTGTGGCATTATATCGCATTGAAGTCCCTCCTTTCCTCGAACTCTGTCCTCCTTGGGCTGTACCCCAAAACCTCCAAGTATTTCCCAAGCTGGCAACCCTACCTGAGAAGCCAATAAAGTCCCATCTGGCTCTGTATAATTTACTGGCTCACCTCAGGCCTACCTCACCTGCTGCAGACTTGCCTGAGGCTACTGATCAGGCTGCCTTCTAGCCACCGGCCTTCCCTGAGAGAAAGGCCCTGCAATTTCCCCCTCCTTTTGGCATATCTCTAGTCCTTGTGAATGTGAGGGGTGTCTTTTTTCAAACTGGGCAGACAGAGGATGACGCAGTGTGCGCCTACCGTCCTTGTGTGTCTGCCATCCCCAAAAGCCTCCAGCTTATACATCACTCCTGTTATTCCTGTACTGACACCTTCTGTCCTCTCCCCATTCCAGTGCCTCCCACAAACGAACATTTGCCAAAGCTCCCTCAACCAATCAACAGGCATAAGAAATGGTATCCCTATGGGTATTCCAAGGCTTTCCTTAGTCATCTGAATGCCTGAGGTACAACTTTGCCCTGCCTAAAGAGGCCTGCCTGCCACTTGCTCACTCTGAGGTGGGTGGGGGGCAACGTCACTCCAGTGGCACCGTGTGTAGCAGAGCAGTTGCTCTTCAGACCTATCATAGAGATGCCGTTTTATCTCTCCGGTCACTTGGCATTTTTCCTATGGGCACATGCTTTACACAGCTAAAACTCTGTCTAACCTGTCTCCTTAATCTACTGCCTGAGGTAACCGTTTCTCCCGACCTCTTGGCAGGGCCTGCTTTGTTCCGCAGTTGCCCCCACCTGAGCTAGCCAATCTGGGAACGGAGCCGGACAGGGAAAGTCCTTTCACCCCCATTTCCCAAGGTCGCTGTGAAAGTCCATCAATCTGTGGCACCCTCCCCAGGCTCCAAAACCTGTCTCCTCAGCACCCCTCCCCCCTCCAGACATTAACCCCCTGGAAGACTATTGCTCTCCCTTGCTTCTTTCAACCCTCTGAGGGTTCACTCCTGCCTCTCACACTAGATGTCCATTCATCCCCCATCAACTCCACCCCCTTTTCTGAACTGAAGCCACAAAGGGCCTCTTGTTCCACGGGGAGAATAAGAAATTGTGTCCCATTCTCTCTGTCCCGTCACCGCCTCACCAGGCCCCTTTGTCTGTTTGTTATTCCAGGCCTTGCACTCCTACAAAATCCCTGCCAACTCCACTTGTCCACCGCCACCATTGCCTTCCCCTGTTGCTTCCCCCCCACCCCAACTTTGCTGCGAGGCACTTGACTGAAAGGCCTTCCCGTGCCCCCCAAAGCAAAAAGAAGTCCATCTTAAGAGCCAGGAACCTCATAACTTCTAACATTCCACTGATGAAAGTAGGGATACATGCCACCGTTGGAGCACACTCACTGCGTTCTGTTCAAATGAGCAATTTTCTCAGGAAAAACTGGTTCTGCGAGGTCGCAGCAGCAGCCGGCTGTGCACAGTGCTAATTGGCTGGTGCCGTGATGTCAGTAACCCACCTCTGCCCCTCATCCCCAGGGCAGTCTTGCAGCTCTTTTTTAAAATTGATTGCACTTTTACAAAATAAACAAGGCAATATGGCACTTTTAAAAAATAGAAGTGGCAAGCTGCTTGCCTGATGCATGAAGAGAAGGGGAAAATCGGCAACTAAGCCAGCGTGCCGTTCGCTCGTACTCTGTGATTTACACTGTAAAGGCAGGCTGAAACTATGCTCTTCCTCTGGGAGAAAAAAAAATCTTCCACACGTCCTGTTTTGAAGCTACATCTATACTCTGTACACACACCTCTTTCCTCTCACCAAAGATGAGTACCTGCTCCCCCACAGTGTTACACTTGGCTGAAGGCACTTCTCCGCACTCTGTGGTCTTCCACTCTGCAAAAGCCTGTCCTTTGCCAGTTCTTTCCTCTCACCAAAGATGAGTACCTGCCTCCCCCACAGAGTTACACTTGGCTGAAGGCACTTCTCCACACTCTGTGGTCTTTCACTCTGCAAAAGCCTGTCCTTTGCCAGCTTCTAAAGCGGATGCATTGACAAACTGATCACAGCAGTTCTCACAAGAACACAAGAGGGGCCCTGCTGGATCAGACCAACGGGTGATCGTGTCCAGCCTCCTGTTTCCTGCAGCAGTCAGCCAGATCTCTTGGAAGGCCTGCAACAGGAACCCAGAGGCCAAGTCGTCTTTTGTTTTCGCCGCTACGCCACCCTGACAATTGGTAGAGGCGCATCGGCTCTGAACATGGAGGATCCAGTTACCCATGGTAGCTAGTCACCATGGATGGACATCTCTACAAATTTCATTTTGGGGGTGGGGAGATATCTCAGAAATGTTTAACAGACTATTTCACATAGGGTTGCCATCCCCCCGAAGGGGGCAGGGTTTCCTCTGATTTCCGGCCCCCTGATCCACCCGCCAGCCAGCTGCCGGCGGGGGGAGCCCTGCTCTCAAAGAGCTCCCCGACGTCCGACATGCCTGGTGCGATGTCATCACCCAGAGGTGAGGTCATCGCATGGGGCATGTGGCCGGGGGGACGCTCTAGCATTCGGCCAAAACCTCAGTGGTACCCAGGAAGGAGCCTCCATCTCCCCGCCGGAAGAAGGTAGGGACCTGGCAACCCTAATTTCACAATGGATTTGGTTTTCCTTATCAATGAATAGATACGACTAAACCACATTCAGCAACAGTCACTACATAAACCAGCTGCTGGAGGATTGGGGGGGGGTTGGGCTGGAGGGCGACTTGGGGCAGCCAAACTACACCTGATGTTGGACTGGAGATATCACACCCACGGAACGACCATAGGTTGATCTTGTTTAACACCGTCTACTCTGCCAGGCAGCAGTTCTCTAGGGTCAGGCAGGGGGTGCTCCTCTTCAACACCTACCAGAGACCTTTTAACAGGGGATGTCCTGTCCTGAATCTAGGACTTTGTGCATGATGTGAAGCTCTGAACCACAGCACTTCCCTGTGAGCCCTTGAAGCACATGGGATAGCCCTGCCAGCTGTCCTCCAATAGATCTCATTCTCTCCTCTGGAGTTTGGCCCCTTCTCTCATTGCACTTGTTGTATACTGCATTAGACCCTTCCCCAAAAAACTAAGGAGAGGGCCTCAGAAGGTTCCTGGGCCTTGTCCCCTTTCTTGTGTTCTGGATCCTCAGAACTTTTTCTAACCCGCTGAATCCCCTTTCCTACCCACAAGAAACTGCTCTGGTCCAACAAACCTAGGGGCTCCGAATTTAGAGCCAGTTTGGTGTAGTGGTTTCGAGCGCAGACTCTAATCTTGGAGAACTGGATTTGATTCCCCACTCTTCCACATGCAGCTGCTGGTGTGACCTTGGGTCAGTTAAAAGTTCTCTCAGAGCTGTTCTCCTATGAGCAGTTCTCTGAAGAGCTCTCTCAGCCCCACCTACCTCACAGGCAGTGTTCCCTCTAAGCTGTGTTAGTTTTTTAGCCTCCAGCTCACACATTTTTGTCTTAGCTCAGGAAGGATGGATCCAGAGCAAACCAGTAGCCAAATCACTTGCTCACAACTTTAATGCCAGTAGCTTACAAAGTAGAATTTTTGCTCACAAGACTCCACAGCTTAGAGGGAGCGTTGCTCATAGAGTGTCTGTTGTGGGGAGGGGAAGGGAAAGGAGATTGTAGACTCCTTCGGGTAGTGCAGGGCAGAGTATACATCCAATCTCCTCCTCCTCCTCCTCCTCCTCTTCTTCTTCTCCTTCTCCTTTTTCTCTGCTGTTTTAAACCTTTTAGGAAGCCTGTTTTTAGATAGTGTCTGCTGTGTATCTCTCTTTCACTGCTCCTTGTGGACTTCTGAAAGGTTGGGAGGGATGGTTACATGGTCTCCCAATCAGTCTACGATATTAATAATAACGGTGTCCTGGATCCTTTCATTGCCTCTGAGAATACATGTACATTGGCTTTGACTTTCTTTTTCCCCATCAGGAGTTGTCCTTAACTATATGCAGAGAGAGAGAATATATATAACAAGCAAGATTTACAATGCCTTTAATTAAACAGACACGGTGTCAGGTTCTTTTAAGTTCAGAGAGTGTTGGATGTGGTTCACCCAGACAAAAGAGCTCAGCAGAGGTTCCATTTGATTCCTGGATTTCTCACTTCGAAGATAGACTTCAATGAAGCGGGCAGATAAGGACAGAGGACCTGTTCTGCACATTCACGACTAATTTTGAACTTGCAAGATGATAACGAGGTCTAAACTGATGCCTCAGGCTCTTTCATTTATCTGCTC